GATATAGAATCATTAATTACGTATACAAACCTTATAAAAAACGTATCATTTCCTTATTTCGATTTCTTATAGGGCAGTGAATTTGAACTGGATCCCTTAGCTGATTTCTATTATTTAGCCTTAATTTCACCCTTATCTATTTTAGCAAGTAGATTGGATATTCATAAAAACTTCCCATTACTGTGGACTCTGCTGTTGAGGGTGGGATAAGTTTATTTACCCTCGAAAAAAATAAACGATCTTTGCTTCAAAACCTAATGAAAATGAATTACAGTAAGCTATCTACATTGATAGAGATAACTTGGGAGCATAAGGAGACAAAAACTTGGAGGAATGACATACTCATGAAATTCCTTCATTATCCAAATTTGATTCTTTCAAAGTATAGGCCAAATTCTTTATATGACACATTTACCAAGACAAGTGTTTTAGGACCAGAACATATATTGGCTCTATCACGAATTTAAGGCGTGATTATAATATGAATAAATTGTTTATAGCTCTGGAATGGCAGTTCCATGACTATATTTTTTTGCTTATAATATATACCTGCAAAATTCAATCATTTTATTATTATAAATAAATACAAATGTTCGGGGTCTAGCTTGTGATACATGGTGAAGTTTCTATGCTAGTGTCCTATACAATTATTTTTTTCTTGATTATCACTTCTACACAGTACTTCTTATTTGCGAGTTCTTCACTAGCTGTTACTCTATCCTTTAATAAGCCCACTATAACCTCTAAAATCCTTCTCACATTCTTACATAAATCGGTTGAGTCCTTGAGTGCGTCTTCAGTTAGAGAGATGCGATACTCAGTCTTGCTCGTATAATAGATAGCCTTAGTGCTATGTAGGATGAAATACCAGTCTGTGGCTAAGAAATTATAAAACAAGTTAGTGATACAAAAGAGCAGAAGAAGAAAAAAACAGATTCGCTAGAGTATTTCTCACCTATTGTGACAATACCATAGACATATTCATACTCCTTAAATGCTTTTTCAGCCTTACACTTTTTCTTGAGTGTATCTAAATTCATCTATGTTTACAGATGATGATTGGTTAGTATATTCTGATATAAGGATAGTTGAACGGAGACTAGACATAGTATTACTTACTTTATACGAACTTTAACATTGCATTAGATTTTGTGCCACACCTTTTCCCGGCTGGTTTTGCTTTCCTTCGGTTATGCATATTATTTCTTCGAGCAAATCAATCCAGTATTTTCTTGATCGCATAATCTACACGGCCGAAACTTTCTTCACCAGATACATTTATCTGAGACAAGATTACTAATCCTCCTAGGATGCTGACAGCAGTATGAAGGATTGTAGAAATGTATTCATAATGCATAGCCTTATTACTATCTACGACTAGCCCCATATTTTTTATCCTACAAAGAATATCATCAATGCAGAGCTTAAACTCTGGAGATTTTTCATCGATTGGGTGGGAGACTATAAATGGAGAATGTGTAAATCAATGGAAATTTATAATGAAAATGTTAGCATAATTTACCTGGTGTGAACCGAGGGATGCTTGTTATGCTATTACTTTTAATGTCGTATTTTTTTAACACTTCCTTCAAACTACGGTATGAGGAGAATGCACGCTTCGGCTTTTCTTTGAGGGTCTTAATTTCATCAAGTAACGCTTTTACAGGACCTAACTTCAACCCAATACCTTGGAGTTCTTCTTTGGTTAACCTGAGAAATGTTTGGCCGGTAATTTTTTCGTTGCAGAGTATTTCCAAGTCATCATCGTCGAGCTTGAGGTTCTGCTCTTTCAAAAAATCGATAAGGGTTTCTGTATCCCAGTTCTCAACCAGGTAAGAGTTGTATTCAGCTGTTGAGGTAAACATAGCACTTTTATATGGTTATTAGGCTCAGACAAAAATAGTGTTATGTTCTGGAGGAAAATAGAGATTTTATTTCTGGTGAGAAGACTGGATGTTAATATAGGTTTTTATGTTATACAGACATTACATCATTACACATGACCAGTTTCTCGATAAAATAATACTTTATTTATGAAATAAAATAGTTGCCAGAACCCGGCCTATAATACATAAAATTTGCAAAGTGCCTTAACGGCTATCACTATTACATAGATACAATAATATTAATTTGATCATTAGGGGTTGTTTGGAGAATACTTAGAAATCAACTCATGTGGAGGCATTCCTGTTTCATTTATACGTTTCCCACGAGAATATTCTTCAATTTGGCTTTCAATTGATGTATCTTCCTCAGTATCATTGATCTTCCAGAGTAAAAACTCAGCAGGAGGAATCTTTTCAAATAAGGATGGCCACCTTTCTCTAATAATAATCCTTAACTGATCAACTATTTCGCCGGTAAAGATTTTAAGTGTAGTAATACTTCCTTCTGATAGATTTGATCATAGAGTTGTATTGTGAGATAAAAGAAGACAATTGAGAGTAATAATAGTATCGGACATCTTGCTTTCCTAGATACAAGAGCCCATAGTGAGAAAAATTTGCTCTTATACATACATAACTTCTGGCATATACATACCTTAAATTTTTTGCAGAAAGTTGGCTGAACTTCCACATGCCCTTACATGCTTTATATCTTGCTGGAAAAAAGTTAAAGAAGTATAAGGCGTAATTAGTATTGTCATCTGATGCCAAGAGTCCCTTGAAAGCATATGCAAGCAGAATCTTTTTACCTTTTCACATGTGATCTACCAGAGAGATATATAGTTGGTTTTACGTCTGGTGATCTCAAAATTGCGAAGTCCTCAGCACTTCATAACATATGCTTTTACCATCACTATTTACTTTTAGAGCTGGTCCTGTGTTGCAACTAGACCTTCTTTCACATTTTTCTCATGTTTATTTGGGAAAAAATATAGGTACTGGTTAGTATGTTTTCTTTTTTGAATATATATGCAAAATTTAATATATCATACAACCTGTCTGATGATCCACCTATTTTTGTAGCATAATCCGTAGCTCAGCAAATTCTTTCAAGCTGGTGATCACCGCTCTGGACTAGTTAGATTGGTAAAGTATTACCATTCTAATGCTAGTTCCTGATTAAAAAATTCAGAAATAAAATCGTCAATCGTACCCATAATTATCGGAAGATACACATTATTACTATAGGAATTATCATCATCTGAATCAGTTTCAGAGCCAGAGCTAGAAGATTCTGAATCGGAACAGTAATTTTCATCAAAATTTTCGATATGAATATTTGAATTTAGCTAATCCATAACTTTTTTGCTAATATTTTCACATCCATCCAAATCTAGAAATTTTAAATTGAGAGATAAGCGAGTAATTTTTCTGATAGTCATACTGGTAATATTACAGTAACTAAGGTTGAGATGTTGAAGCTTTAGACAGGAACGTATAACATTACAAATTGATGCTTCACTAACAAAAACACAGCCACCCAGATTGAGATATTCTAATTTATAACAAGAATAGGCCAGCACTTCAGTAACCTCATCGCCAATATCATTATGACCAATCTCTAAGTGTCTTAAATTTGGAGATCCTTTGATGATGGCTATAATCAATTCATCATTCCACAAAGCCATAGTCACACTAAAGTCAAGATACTCTATGTTGAGACATCTCTGTATTAACATACTAGCATCTTTGACACTCCTCTTACTATATGCAATATCAAGATTTCATAATTTTGTGCATGAGTTTATGATACAACTTATAGATTTATCTGTAATCCGAGCTTCGACAAAATGAAACTTTTGCAAAAAATGACAATTTTCTACGATTTCAAACAAAGATTCATCAGTAATATCTTAAGAATAAGATATGTCTAGAAATTCTAATTTTCAGCATGATAGTGCAATTACACATAGACCTTTATCAGTTATTGTTTGAGTATCCCACAAATTGAGATATCTTAAATTAGATATGCTTCTGCTATCAGATTTAATGCATTATCACTAAAACTTGTACTACTCTTAAAATTTAAATAAATTATATTTGGATACGAGCCTATAATGCCCTTGATTTTTTTATCCAAAAGTGAATGGTAGTATGTAATTTCAAGATGCGTTAGATTTGAGTTATAAATTGGCTTTTGTTTTCCACATACTAATTTCATAAATTTTTCCAGTCGAGAGTGATCCTTTACACAATAATTATAATCATCTGGAAATAATGATAACTGTATAAGTTATTTCCTTTTAGCTTGATATATTTCCATACATTAGGAGCACTGCACTTGTACCAAAGCTAACAAACAAATAGAGTGGGATAGAGTGATTTGTCTATCGCTAAAAAATGAAAAATCTGTTCTAGTAGTTCTGGTATAATAAAATTTCTTGAATGTGCCATAAATAGTCTGTATTATATGTTGTATCTTTAATCAAAAAAATAAATTAGCCATCAGTACCCATGTCCAGTGTTGTCATGAGACATAGTTAGGACACTGATGGGACACTGATGGGACATTGATGGGACAGATGAGACATTTGGGACATATATGAGACATAGTTGGGACATATAGTTGGGACATATAGCTGGGATAGCAAATGCTTGGGACATAGGAAATGTACATCACTGCCCATGTTTAGAACAAGTGATTTGCCTATGTAGACTTTGCTGATTGAAATGTTCTCTATAACAGATTCTGATATCTGATACAGTATTTAGAATTTCAGATAAATTGAAACCTTCAGAAGAAGAGCTAGAAAAACATGTCTACCTCTGGCTAATTTTTTCCAAATATTGGGTGGCGGTACCTGAATTAATATATTTTATTTTAAGATATAATCCAATTTTCTCGATAGTTGTATAGGAAATTTTACATCCATAAATATCGAACTCTTGGAGCTTCAGATAAGAATGAATAACATTCCAAATTGTTATTTCAGAAAATTCTTTGCGACTAGAAATACTCAGATATTCTAATTTATGGCATGAATTTGCGATTGCATGTAGACCTTTATTAGTTATTAATCTATCTCCATCATCCCCTCCCAAGTTGAGATACTTCAGATTGGGATATGATTCTACTATTCGGTTTAATGTTTTATCACTAAATCTTACACTATGATATAAATTTAAATGAACTATATTTGGAAATAAGCCCACAATGCTTTTGAATTTTTTATCTGAAAGATAGTAATCTAGAATTTCTAGATGAGTTACATTCGAGCAATAAACTGACTTCTGCTCTTCACATATTATTTTCATAAAAATCTTTTGTGCATTACTCCTCTTTAGCTCAATACATTTCCATAGAATAGGAGCACCACATCTGTACCACAATCAGGAAACATATAGAGCAGGATAGAGGGATTTATCTACAGCTAGGAAATATAAAATATGTTCTAATAGTTCTGGTATAATAAAAATGCTTGTATGCATCATAAATAATATATGCTGTATCTTTAATCAAAAAAATAAAATTAGCTGTCAGTAGTAATCTGAGAAACTGAATTCAAATCGAATTTACCAGATGGAAAAGTTAAACAAGTGTTCTTTCACCTGTTCTTGAGATACTGAATCACTTCAGATTGAGGATCATTACCGGTTAGTATCTGCAATGTCAGATAAAGTGGAACATCTGATTTATCTAAAATTCCATATAACTTTTTGAAAGGATCTGAAGATTCCTCATTCTTGATCTTTGTCTCTTGATTGAGGTCTTTAAAGAAACCTTTTTTATCTCTACTTTAGATAAGTCTAGACCTGATAATGAAGTATATGCCTTATATTCCTCATATGCTTCAAAAAAATCATTTAGTAATTGGTTATCTTAAGCCAGTGCTGGACTATCTTTACCTTTTTTAGGTTCCAACACTGGTGAAGTTGGAGGGGATATCTGATCTAGTCAATCAAGTGTATTGTTTCCTTCAGAAAGTATGCTATTTATTTTCATAATGGATTAGTTTTTATAGTTACCATATTTTTAATCGAAAAATAAATTAGCCGAGCTGGAAGATCATTATTTTGAATTAAGCCTTTCCACTATGTCATATAACTCAAGCATTAGTAAACCATCCATACGAACTTTTAACTGATTCTCAGATGATAATCCTTTGAGAAATAGCTATTTAAGATGTTCTTCAGGATATTCTTTGCTTAAATTATATTCTTTCAACTTTGAATAAAATTCCTTTGCCATATAATTGCTTTGATCCTTTATCCCAAATAAAAAATTCATTCTTTTGGACCATTCAAGATTCGCCTCTCTTTTCCATATATCATTTATACTGTGAGATTTTTTTAGATCCCGTTCTGGAAGATACTTTAGAATAAATAGTAATAGTTCAGGCGGAAGTTGTTCTAGTAAATTAACTGTATGCATTTTATATGATTCGAAAATTTTTCATCAGAAAAAATAAGACTAGTAATATACAATCACTCCAAATAATCATTATTCTGCTTCGGATACTTCATAGATACTTCTTTTAATGGAATCGTAAAATTATCATCTATAGTTAATAATGAATTATGCGTATTCAAAGTTGTACCATTTTCTCGAAACCATAGCATTCCTAACACTAAGACAGGATAATAATCAGGCCATTCCGGTCTAAGAACTATAAATTTAATAGGTGTTCTTTTATGCTTCTCGCCATTATTAAAGCTAATACAGTCATATCTCAATATAATAAAGTTGCCGATCTAGCTGATCAGAACTTCGTTATAAGAATCTTTGTTATAGCGTTAACGAATTATTCATTATAGTAGATGATTACTGATTTCATTACACAAATATAATTTTACTATGATAT